CTCTTGACCTTCCCCTGGACCCAAGGGTGTGCCATGCAAATTTTGGCTGCTTTAGCTCTTACAGGGACTGAATGCATAGAGAACAAACATACAAACAAACTTTCTTCTTTATATATATAGATAGATGATATACATCTTGAAAATATGTTTTGCGGCGATTTAACGCATTGCTGATGAAATGTGTCGTGTTGGCTGCAGCTGGTAAATATACCATATTAATCACTGGTGGTGTAGTTGGTATATGAGCTGTACGTATTACAACTAAACGAATTTGTGCCGGCTTCACAATAATGCCCTGGGATCTTTCGGAGAAGAAATGTGTCGACATTTCAGTGTTACAGATATACAAAAACGATAATATAATTAATTTAAAGGATAATGTTCGACCTATAAATATACGTAACAAAAAGAAGAACAGTTATATGAACAGAAAAAGATAAAATACAAAAATGTATAGCTAATGACATTTAAGAGAAACAGAAATTGGTTATGACAGAAAAAACGGTATATGCAGAAAACACTGCATATCAATGATTTAAAAATGTATATATATGAACAAAATATTAACCATTAAAAAAAGAAGAAAACGCAAAAAAGAAATTAGTGTGGCCAATGACATGTGCGCATAATAATCTAATGCTCTGGTTGATCATACAACAGTTCATCCTCAAATACAAAACTTCCTCGCTTACCTCGACCTTTACTATGTTTATACATCGGATCACCAAGCTTTTTTCTCTTTTTCGGTTAACAACCTGACTCATTTTTTTATCCTTTTTGAACCGAACGTTCTTTAGAAGTTTCTTTGAACTACTGCATGCAACTACGACTAAAATCACTAAAATGGTACATAGGTGCAATGAGAATAATAGTAACTGCAATATACAGTACTGGTGATGCTTTAACTGTGACAATCAAACTTAATTTTTGTAAACGTGCAGTATTTAGGGTTTTTCAATTTCGCGCATCAGATCTGAATTATTGAACGCGTATAATAATTTTATTAATTCTGTTTCGATTTCGAGAATGTTTTTTCCCAACGGAATCAATTTTTGAGTGTGTTTGACTTCCAAGAGATATGTAGGAGTGTCACTGCATAAACTACCACTTTTATAGGTATGATGTGTGCACACAAACTTCTGACGACAGCCGGTATGAATAATGCCAATTTTTTTAACTATTAAATCAAATAATGTGTTCTTATTATTTGGCTCTCGACAAGTTATGTTTTTGAAAGTTGATACTACTCACACCTTTTTCTCTATATTTAGACTAATAGGCGAGTACATTTTTCTCTGTTCAATATAACAATCTTCTGTTTCATTCCACTCTAGTATTCCTCTAATACATATTTTTTTTATTCCATCAAATTCAATTGGTGGAATTCTACAATAAGAATTTTGACCAGTAAAACATTCTTCACGACTAAGATAACTGGTCCATTCGGTATATGTGCCATTATCACCAAAAGCAATTAGTTTAGCTAAATCAACCACCTCAACAGCTGAAGATTCAGTGACAAAATAGGGTATTGGCGTGACAGAGTACAACCGATTAATGATACTCCTGAGAAACGAAATAAAAGTTTCGATAACAATATTGCCGATGAACTTTGGCAAAACTCCAGAGAAATTCAAACTTTTAGTTGAAAATGATCCATTATATCCATCATCTACGATAGTAAATATATCGGGAAATGTTTCATTTAATTCCGATGGTTTTGCTGGTTGAAATGTGACTTTCTGATGAATTAACATACTCGAAACTAAAGTGACTATTGAATGAGTTTTTCCTGGACTTAAATGTTTAATTTTACTATAAATAAATTTGCTTACAACAGCTTCATCATGAACATCAAGAAAATCAAGATTTAACTCATTGGTGTGTACAGGTGGTGTGAAAACAGATATCAGCTTTATGCTAGTATCGTCGACTATCCAGGCAGTAACAAAAGCATGGCGGTTGATATCGTTCGTTCTGCATGCATGAGTGTCGAAAAGCTTCTTGGTATCGAAATAAGCAATTCACGTATTAACAATTCTGCGACCATAGAGAGCCTTCTACATGAGATGAAAGAAACGTCGCCTCGACTGTTTCAACCTTGGGATGAGCTCAATACACTCATTAGTTCGTTCGGTCTCTATCGTAGTGAGAAAGCAGCTTATGATAGAATTATCATTAACACTTTATACAACACCAATCAGGTAATACGGCGGCAGACAGTCAAATCACCGATTAGTATCGAAAATCCAATCCTTCAGATAGCTGGAGCCGGACATCCGGCCGAAGTAATTGAATCTGTAAAACATGATAACGAAGATGACGGTCTCTTTGGTCGATTTCTATTATCAGCTCCCATACCGCATTCACCTCTTGCCGAAGAAATATATGATATTAATGAAGATTGTGCACGTTTGATGCATCTTTTGTACATTATTAATATATTAAATCCAACGGAAAATGAAAATATGGCGATCCGATTCGTATGGTATATAAATACGAAGAAGCAGCTGAATCTATCATGTACGGTGGTATTGTTAGAGACTTTCGCTTTTCGCAGTAGTCAAATTTATGATCTTTTACTTTAGAAAAGTTGAATGAGTATGTGCTTATAACCCGTGAATGCTTGGAATGATAGTTTCATGACGTCGCTGTACTCAAAAGCCGAGTTCCAACTTCATCGTACCGCTGGTGCATTACATGTTGCTCGAATAGCTAGTGAAGTCATTACACAATGGAAAGACGGGTTGCCATATCACGATTTTAGAAAAGAAAGAATTGCCGATATTCAACATGCAGTCGATAATTATACATCTTCAACCAATTATGAAGAAATTTCTGTAGCAACAGCCAAAAAGATTTTGTTTATTAACTGATTATTTCATTACATAAAAGAAAATTGTCGGTGGTCATCCCGCTGAGGAAACTATTGAAGACAACATTTTGAAGGCAATGATAATGTACCTGAAATGGCTATTGCTCCAGTAAGGGCACAAAAAAGTATTCCGCATGTCAAAATATTATCGGAATGGCTATTGGCACTCCCAGGAGTGGCAACAAGAAGCTATTGGTACTCCCAGCAAGTGTTTGGGAGTGTCAACAAAAAGCTATTGGCACTCCGGGAGTGGCAACTAGGAGCTATTTCCGTCGCCAGGCAAACTTAATATAAAAGCTATGTCGGAAAAGTGGTTTATTCTCCGGAGCCGAGCATTTTAAATTAAATGTTGTTCTTTTAAAGCTTTTTTAATTTTTGAGTTGTTTGTAAATGAGTTCTAATTCGCGAGAAGTATAAGTTATTTCAAGTTACACTTATGCACTTTTACATTAATAGCTGCGCCACAAATTCATTACATGAACCTGTTAAATTCAAGGAGCAAACCTGAAAGTTCTTATTTGCAAAAGTCAAATTTCTCTGATACAAGCGGTTACTGGAATATTCGCTGAGAGCGCCACTGTCATCTTGTATTTTTGCAGTGTAGTGGCATTTCCTAGGTGTGCCAATAGCTTCTGGTTGACACTCCCAAACAGTTGCTGGGAGTGCCAATAGACTCACCCAAATATTATTAGCTTCAGGTCTTAGAATCAATTGGTTATATATCACCCGACATCATGGCGGCTTTGAAACCAATCAGTTACAGTTCGCTGCCAAGGAGTTAACAGCAGCAGGTCTTGGTGGGCATGTCAAACACTTTAGATTTCATCTTAACCTATTATTGTCAATCTTCTCGTTATGCAGGAAAATTAACGAACGAAAAGGCCAATCCAAGTGCCACGGAGTACTTTACGAAGACGCCAATTGATATTGCTACTGAAAGTCCCGAAAATATTAAATCCTTTACCGATAAGTTACAAAAATTTCACGTCTCGTTGCCGGATTATTTAAGATCTTTGGAAATTTTGAAAGCGGAGACAATCAAACGGAGATAATCAACCAGTCAATATGGATATTGACGAAACTGATGAAAATAATCCACCTACTGCTTTACAAAGCGTTTCGGCACGAAATGCCCTCGCAATAACTACTTCGCAGCAGTCAGTCACTTTACGTCAACAGCTGCCACTGGATGGTACTCGAAGAAGTCAAATACGTCGAAGTCATAGCACTACTACTGTGCAAAATGAAGGTTTACCACCTCATTTTCATTCACCACAGATACTCCTGGTCGGACTGAACAAGCTACTGGTGGAAGCAGATCTCCACAGATGCTTCAAGTATTAACCGAACGAAAAAAGAAAAAGCAAAAGTAACATTTAATTCATTAAAAAGCATAAAACCCATATACTTCTTGTATAAAACAGTTATTTATCGATACATTTATCTTATTACGAACATTTTTCTGGCATGTTAATCGATGTATTACTATTCATCATCCTAATACTTTACTCCTTTATTATCTTGGTCATCTACTACTTTAATTCAATGATTCACTATTTTACTATAAAAAAGATTTTCTCTTAGCGTTTGTGTGACTGTGCATGCCTAGTATGTATACATATTGATTAAAATAATAAAAAATTGTAATAGCTGAGAAAAAGATATATCTAGATATTTGGGATCATTAACGAGATCAATCATTCTCTATTAGCCTACTGAAAAAACGTCTAACTTATTGCTGTTATTAAACTTTGATGGCTGTAAAGCCGCATATTGTTCGAAGCTTTTATTATCGACTAATTATGGAAAACATATTATCTGACAGAAGTGGAATAATGTAGAATACCGAAGGATTACAGTCTTAAGTATTTGTTCATTAACTCTATCCTTCACTTTCTTATATAAACGAATGTATGTGTTAGACTATTCCTTGATCGTCGTTAAATCAAAAGTTGACAAAACAAATATGACTCGCCATGTATTATTCTCACTTATGTCATCGGCTATGGTGCACAGTCTCTTTGAATACTAGAACAATTGTCACTGCTACTTCTCTGTTCTACTGAATATATACAGACATATTGTTGAACTATATTTTAATGAGAACACGACCTCAAGGTCATATTCTGTGTCTCGTCATAGTACGATGACGGAAGATATAACAACTGAAATATAATAGAGCCTAGCGTATTAAATAAGAACAGAAACGCTCGACGAGCGTAGTAATTTCTTTATCCTAACCTTATTTTTGAACTTTTGTCTAAAATTCTTTCACCAATGAGTAGCTGAGAGTTTCAGTAACCGAATGAGAAAAATAACTTTCGGTTTATCATTTGAAATGAGGGAGATCTTAGAAGTATAATACATTCTACTTTGTATACTAAATGGCTTTAATTCTAAATACACCTAAGATAAGAAGCAGCTAAGATCTCCCTCATTTCAAATGATAAACTGAAAATTCATTTTCTCATTCGATTACTGAGACTCTCAGCTACCCAATGGTGGACGAATTTTTGGAAAAAGTTCAAAAATAAGGCGATTTAAAGAAAAAGCTCTTATCAACATTATGCATTAGATACATATTTATTGTCATCTTCTTCAGAATCATTCTTCACTTGGCTCATATTGCTATTCAATATTGGAAAATTTAGAGTACGTATTCTATACCTAGAACGTCAGAAGTGGAATAGTTCAAAAGACAATAACAAGCGTTCGAAAGCTGAATAGCTGAAAAAAGAATCTCAAAAGTTGAAAACTTGCATAGTTGCAAAGACAATGACGTCGTGGAGAAAATGCATTGGCTGCAAGTTCACTACCCAAAAATCCTGAATGTCCTAGTGAGTGAGTAGGATATAAATAAACTAGAATATTTAACATATCTCCGATGTCCATATCGAGAGATTGTCATGGCAACTGATGTGTTCACCTAAAATATCCTACAGGCCTACTCACACTCAAACGTTAAAAACAGAATCCCAAAAGTTGAAAGGTTGAATAGCTGAAAAGAGAATCTTAAAAATTGAAAAGTTGAAATAATGGATCGAAAGTTGCAAATATAGATTGTTTTATTCCAAAAATTGAAGATGATTTTCAACTTTTGGATAGTTGAAGTGTCTCTTCGAGCTTTACACGTATGAGAAAACTGGACTTTATTAATTTTTCATCAAACTCGCCCTCTATAAAGTGACATCTATAGCTCGGAGACAAAACATTTTTAGGGCGCCATCTTTTTGCTGTAAGCTGTAAACCTATACGTTGCAAAAATTACAGTCCGATCAGTCACATCAATAATCTGACTCTATCCCACACTGCCGGCTTTTGTCAGATAATGGTTCTTAATTTGACTTTATTGCAGCTGCGCTTTGTGTACGGTAGCAAAAAGAATTGATGAAATCTGATTCAATATGCAGATCTTCTGCAATTGTTTTTTTATCGGCGTCATGGTTGTTACTTTTTGTGGATATTGTGTGATTTGGAGACTGTAATATAGCCCAAAATAGACTATGCGTCTGTATACCAGAAGTGTGTTATCATCGGTGCTATGATTCGATAAGAGGTAAGAGTCAGCAAAAAAGCTGAGCTGTCAGCGCAGCGTTTATTTTGCCGTTGCTTTAAGCAACGGTTGGTTACTTTTTTCGTAGAAATCTCTTTATCTCTAACAGACCAGAACTTGCAGTAATTCATAGCCTATGACTTACTGCAAGCTTTTTTCTGCCAGTATCTGTGTCACGGCGTGACATATTATCATTGCTTTTTTATGTCACTGAAAAAAGCTATCCATTGATATACTACGTTCTTTTTTCTGCAATACTCTCTTTCTCTCTCTCCGTCTTTTTTTGATCTCACTCTGCCTATATTATATTAGCCTATAGCAAAAAAATAAAAAGCAATTAGTTTTTAATACGGACAAAAGTCTATACTTTTTTTATCCGTATTAACAATAGAAGTATTGTGGCTTAGCAGCATTCAAATTGCAGATACTGGCTTCAAACAATTACGTGGTCAAAGATAAAAATAGAAAACTCCGCAGTCTGTCGGTAGCTAATAATACAATTTCAGATGACAGTGTTCCTTCAATATTAGAAATGTTAGACAAACATGACAATTTATGGAGATCAGAAATTGGAGATAATATCAGCTGTCAGCCGAAGGCAAAAAGATATTATAAGCCCTTACTGTAGTACACCCTAAGACTATCGTCTACAGAGTACATTTAGAAGATCTACTACAAGGTTCTGAAGGACAACCTATATGGAAATTTGATAAACGAGACATCAGTGGGGACTATTTATCAGATGGCAATGTAGAATTAATTGCTGAAAAACTGAGAACGAATACACATTGCGCATTACTTCAGTTATCCGAAAACAACATTACTGATATGGGAGTTGGTTATTTAGCAGAAATATGAAAATAGGACATTAAAAGAACTAGAACTTAACAAAAATAAAATCACGGATGAAGACATGAGCTTGTTATGTGATGTCTTAAGCGACTACGACAGGACTCTGGCACGTTTAGACGTGTTTTATAATCGAATTACCAGTGAAAGTGTTCTTCGTATACACGAGGCACTAAGAGTGAACAAGATATTAGAGTATCAATGGACAAGATACATTGACAAGATAGAGTCAACAGTTGTTTTCACGATATTTGAAATCCATTTAGAGATGCTGAAGTGCGTGCAGTATAGGAATCTTGCGTTTCTCTGGTCGCAAACTTACACCACATTCAGGGCGAACGCAAACTCCGTCAACCTTTTATATCTTCGATCACTCATTTTTAACTGCTTTTTTTAAAGACTATTTTTGTATATAATATCATGCAGAAAAAAAAGTTAAAAAACAACATAACTTTTCCGAAGGTTTGAAATTAACAGCAAATATATTGAATGTGGAAAAGGCTAAAGTTTATTCGCCTATGATGTGAGTGTGCAAAGTCAAATTTTTATCTCGCCGTTTAAATAGGTAACCGCTTTGCCCGACATGAGCACCCTGTCGCCTTTGTTTTCGCACCAAAGTTCCCCTTTACGCGCCGAAATTTGGTAAGCGTGCAACTGGTTTTTACCTAATCGTTCAGCCCAATAAGGGATTAAGCTACAGTGCGATGAACCAGTGACGGGATCTTCAGGAATACCGACTCGCGGCGCAAAGAACCGCGAAACAAAATCAACGTCATCACCAGGAGCAGTAACAATCACAGCAAAAACATCAGCAATATTGGCTAACGCCATAAAATCCGGCGACAATTGTCTGACGGCAGCCTCATTTTCATAAACGAGCATATAATCTCTCGCTTTATAAATTTCGATTGGTGTTACGTCGCCCCGCAATGCTGTCAACAGTGCATCAGGCAAATCAGCTTTTGCTGCTGGACGTGCTGGAAAATCGAGGGTATATAATACATCATCTTTTCGGCGCGTAACTATAAGTTTACCGGCTTTCTTGGTCTGAAAGATGATTTCCTCATTCATAGGAGCCATTTCGGTGAAAATGATATGTGCACTGGCCAATGTCGCATGCCCACAAAGGTCTATTTCCAGTTCGGGCGTAAACCAACGAAGTTCATATCCGCCATCGCTGGAATTTGGTACAAAAAAAGCCGTTTCAGCAAGATTGTTTTCAGCAGCAATTTTTTGCATCAATGGATCGGGTAACCACTGGTCTAACGGGCATACCGCCGCCGGGTTGCCACCAAACAATTGATCAGTAAAGGCATCAACCTGGTATATTTTGATGCTCATAATCGTAATTAATTATTCCTTTTTGGAAGGTTTTTAGCCACTAAGGTAACCGCTAAAGTAACCGTATTTCATCAACTCCGCTTTCCTGTCAATAACCGACAACTCTAAGAATTAGAAAAACACTCTGCGGACATATACCCTACATCGACAATCTAGAATGTGTCAAAGAAAGCACACGGCTTTCCTTCTGATTAATTATGAAACTTTTCAACATTTCCTACTTAACATATTTCTGTCTCAACTTTTTATGTCCAATATTTTAATTCAAAATACCTTACAGAGTGACCAGTTCATGAGATCTTTTTACATTAGCCATACTCTTCACTTCGAGTCGGAGAATTCCTAGGGAGAACTGACAATTTCAGAGCAAGCCGAATTTTCATTTTTTTCTACGTGTATCCGTTGTGCTAGTGCCGATCTCTTTAAAACACAATTATTTGACAGATGCTTTTTTCAAAGTTATTCTGAAGCTTACTTGATTTATGTAATAGATATAGTCGTATGTGTGTGCTTTTTGTAAAAATAGAAAGTCAAATGCATGATGAGATAAATTATATATATATCTCAAGTATTATAATATAAAATATATTGTCAAAAGGTGACTGTGAAAAGTGATAAGGTTTCTCATTTCTTCTTTGCTCAAGATTGTTCTCCATCTGACATAATCTACATATTTACATAGTAAGCATGGTGAAGAAAAACAAAACGTAGAGTAACGAGTTCTATTATTCCAAAGCATTTATTTTTTTCGGAATGGCTAATGGCATCACCGCTGGTGTCATCAAGAAGCTAGTGACGCCAGTAACGGGTGTCAACTAGAGCTATTGACACATCTGATTGTTGTCAATTAAATCCTTTGAATACGAGCGACGCAAATTCGCATCTTGAGATTCTGCGCTGTGAATAGCTTTCGTAAATATTATGTATTGATTTTTCAATGGAACAAAGGACCCAGTTTTATCTGCTGATCTCAAATATGCTATTAGTTTTGCTTGAAAATGTATGGGGAGTGAAAAGGGCGCAAAATAAGCAAAAGTTATAGGAGAGTGTGTAATCTTTCTGACAAACGTTTCACATACGTTTTTCGGAATCATAGGTTTCTATGACTATTTTTTCATGATTATAATGTACATTGAATGCACATACTATTGTACAAAGAGCGATCCTTAGTTCTTCATCCTCGCTCTTATACATATGTTTAAATCATGGGTGCTCATCCTCAATGAATTTCTAGCACCACACAATAGTTAACCTTCATACTTTGGCTGCATAGTCTACGGACACTGCAGAGTCCTTGATGCGAAGTAGAAGTCAAAATGATCCTCGTGAATGGAATTTTGTTAATCTTTTTCGCAAAGAACCTCAAATTTTCACCAAAAAAGAGCCATCCCCGCCCGTAAAATAACAGTATTTCACCAACTCCTAACAGTCAACTCACGAAATTCATACCGTCAGTAGAGTACAATCGTGGCTGCATTTTTGTAGAAAGAAAACTTTTCAACTCTCTCAGGTCAGGAGCTGTTGATATTTTACGGAAAAGAAATAAATTGCTTATATCTTATGAGCCATTCGGTAAAAACGGCTCAAAGTTGGTGAGTGATCAGCATTCGATAAGAGCTATCCCCACACAAAATTAGAAGACTCTAGCTATCATGGTTCTTGAGTTACAGGGGTGTCGTTACTTTTGGGGTTGTTTTTTTTGATAAAATAATCCCGTACTCAGAGGGTTAAAGCTATTGACACTAATAAACAGCAACTTAGGTTTGGTGGTGCGGATGACGGATAACAAGTTAATTTTTTAAGAATAAGCCATTCTCCAGCCATAATATGATGCCGCACCGTATAAGTTCTCTAGAACATATAGTGTTATCTTTACAAATGCCTGAACAATCAACAAATTTTGACAAACAAGCAAGGTTAGTACGACTTTCAGCTGATTACATTCACACAATATACTCAAGCCTTTGTATATAGTTTTCCTGTCTAGAAGACTGTTTACTCTGAAGATCCAGCAATTATATCGAATATCGAAAGCCAAAAGAACGGAGGACGATAAGAGGCAAAATCAGCCCACGCTCAAATCAGTTCTGCGTTAACTCATCTGATGCAGTTTTCGTCCGTGATCAACACTACATTATTTCTAGACCTTAAAAATCCTTTTCGGCCCCCCTGTAACAGACATTAATTCAAAAAGCTTTTTGTAAAGTGAACTATTCGTCTGACTTTTTTTTTTCAAAGGAAATTTTTTCAAAGGAATATTCAAAAGATTTCCTAATGTATTCTTGGATGAATATTTACACCAGAAAACTTTGAAAAGTCAGACGAATAGTTTACTTTAGAAAAAGCTTTTTGAATTAATGTCTGTTATAAAAAGAAGCCTGAAAGTGTCTTCTTTTGAATGCAAAAACTATAATTTGAAAAGAGTAGTAAATTTGAGCAGGAAAAAAGGGAAAATGTTCGCTGACTTTTCAAAGTTTTCTGGTGGAAATATTCATCCAAGAACACGTTAGGAAATCTTTTGAATATTCCTTCAAAAAAAAATTTTTTCTTGTATGACTTTACTGAAAAGTAATACTAATTTTATGAATATTCCCATTATCAGCAACAGTAATACTTTCAGTATTTATTGTTACTGAGAATAGGAATATTGTTCAGTATTACTGTTACTAGTAATAGGAGTACATGAATGTGATTTCCATTGTGATGAAGATTCGAGACAAGCTAGATGTGCATCATCTAAAAACTGAACAAACGATTCCAATATAACACTGAACAATCCACGTTGCTCAGCATATCAGAATGGATTTACCCACTTTGCTCAGAAATAGGGCTGGGATAGTTCCAGTTCTTTTCAAAAGAACGGAAATTAGTTATCACAACGATGATACAATTTAAAGATAGCAGTAATCAGAGAAATTTGTTTCATGGATATATCTATATACGTAGGCAACATATTTAAGGACCCCTCCCTCCCAGAAATGATGATTTATAAGCACATGAAAAGATAGCCTGAAGTGTCTACTTTCAGAATATATATGATTTCACACAATATGGATGGTTTCTGATGGGATTTTCAGAGGTTTTCTGGAGCTCGCCCTACGGAGAACATATTTTTTCGACTAATGGCATAAAACATAGACATATTACATATGAATGGAAAATATTCATCGAGTTGCATCCATTGGTGCAGGTGGCGACACCTGTTAGAACATGTGGCGCCGCCTACAGTAGGTTTTACTTGTAGTTGACATGAAACATAGGTATATTATATTTGAAATGAAATTACTTATCGAGATGCATCTAATAGTGCATGTGGCGACATATAGATATATAGCGTCAGTTTTAGAGCAGCTTTTCCAGCATTTCTTCAGGCCTACATAAACAGCCCATCTGCTTTTCTGTAAAAATGGCTTCTATGCAAAAAAGCACTTTTTTCAATAAACTTTTTAATTCAGATAGAAAAAACAATGTGTTATTCGTAAACTTTATTAAAAAACAAGCCTACACAACATGAATACATATTGAAAATAAACTGTTTTTTGTATAGAACTCCCGTTGGTGTTTTTTGTTTTCAAAAAAAAAAGCTTTTCTAGAAGATCTTTGAAAAACCAGATCGTGTGTAAAAATTTTTGAATAGGATCGTGTTGATTTATTTTCATGGACTGATAGCCCGGGATGTCCTCTTGCAAATTCCTTCTTTTTAGTCCTTGTCAAGGAAAACCTTGATTTTCCGCGGCTCGCGCATTGTATCAGATTTCCTACGGGTCTCAGGACTGGCACCTGGTGACTGTTGATAGCCTTGAAATCGAATGGACTATGGGTAATCAATCATGCTGTGTTTCGTGGAAATATTTATTTTTAGGAAAACTTCTTAGAATCTGGCGGAAAGGGAGTTTTACGAAGATTGGGGTTTTTAGGTTGTTTTCGCCTAATATTTAAAAATTCACTATTCAATCAAAATACATCAAAACGAGTTCAAAACTTTAGGATATGATTAATTTTGTCCGCTAAACATTATTATAAGATCGAAAAAATCGCAAAAGCATATTTT